CTGAGACAAGTTCATTGGGAATGGGATGGAATTTAAGAGAGGCTGGGACCAATCCATCCAGTTGTGTAGATAAACAATAATACCAGGAGATTGTTCTCAAGCAAGGGTTTTCAAAAATATGTTGACATTCTAAAACAGTAAGAATTATAATTGTGATGCAGATGATAAGGATTACTTGCTTCCAAGAAGCAAAAACAGTATTGATAAAAATAATAAAGAATCTTGTGGCACTCTAAACAGTGGCAAGCTTTAACTTGCAATTAAGTGCAAGCTACTTTCCACAAAAGCTTATGCCAAATAAAACATGTCAATCTTCAAGGGGCTACAAAATTTTCTTGGTTTTGCTGTATCACACTAATATTGCTATCCTTTTCTGCAAAAAGCATTGCAAAAGAAGATGGCTGAATCAGACAAAAGGTCACTTATTTTCAATTTTTGTTACTGTGGCATTAAACATGGGGAGGGAATGTTTTTGATGATACAGTATGGATACAAACATCCATTCAGATAGCCAAGATGATGGCCCTGGAGTGCTTTAAAACACTTTTGAGAGGATTGTTGTGGTCAGGACAATACTGGCCTTCAGTTATTCCATTTTCGACAGACCCAGTTGAAACACTGTAGACACCATGATACCTGAGATGGCTGGTAATTACGCCAAGCCCAAATCAGCTACTCTGAATACCCTGAAGATAAGTGTAGGCAGTGCCTGAAAGATCTGAAGTGGAAGCCATGATTCCATGCTTGCATCTTAGAGTAGCATATTCAAGCTAACTTTTCATTGGCTAAAGGACTCTAGCGGAAGTATTGGTTTGGAGTTGGGTCCAATGCCATCAATTCAAATCACTACATGCTGTTGTAGGTCTCATGGAAGTTTTCATGTGGCTAGAATAGGCTGAGAACCTTTGGTGGTCATTTTATTGCTATCCCAAGCCTAATGACATCCAGACTCCAAAGAGTACTCAGCCCCAGAAGTACATGCATTTCATATTGCAGGCAGAAATACCAAGGAGCCAAGGCATTGCCTGGCCCCAAACAGATATGGGAAGAACAGGGGTTGCCTCTGAAGACTGCCCGGAAGCTGCAGCAAGTACAACGGCAGCCAGATTACTAACGGGTGCGGGGTACAGGGAGCATACCACTCCGCTGTTACTCGAACTCCACTGGCTGCCGATTAGCTTCCGAGCACAATTCAAAGTGCTGGTGTTAACCTATAAAGCCCTAAACGACTCCGGCCCTGTTTACCTCTCCGAACGTATTCTCCCCTACGAACCATCAAGACCACTAAGATCGTCTGGAGGGGCCCTGCTCTCAGTCCCTCCGCCTGCACAAGCACGGCTGGTGGGGACGAGGGACAGGGCCTTCTCGATGGTGGCCCCTCGACTTTGGAACTCCCTGCCATTAGAGATCAGAACTGCCCCCTGCAGGTTTTCTGCATGTTTCAGAGGGTTTTCATACCATCAACCATAGTATCCTTCTGAACGACCTCGCTGGGAGCATTGTTTTGCAATGGCTCAAGTCCTTCTTGGAGCCATCAATTCTTCCTCCCTGCCTTCAAAGTGAAAATTTAATATTTTGTTGGGTTGCTCACTTGCTATCTCGGAGAGTATGTCATCCCCCCCCCCCTTTTTTTTTAATTGTACCACAGCTTCCAGCCCTCATGCTGTCTCTGAATTTCTGGAGTTGTAATAATAATAATAAATAAACTTTTTTCAAGCTCTGGTTGCTGTTAACTGGTTTACATCTTACTTCTTCCCCCCAAGAAATAATTTGCCATATGTGCATGAAACTGTGTAATCTTGTTAGCAGGTTTTTCTTAGTCTGCATTTATTCTCCCTCCTTGCTTTATTCCAGAAGAAATATATAATCCATTGCATTTAACTTGTTGAAGGTGAGAGGAAATTCCTTCAAAGCCACTTGTTATTTTCCTTCAAGTTGACTTTGATGTATGGTGTCTCTGCATGAGAAACCTTCAATAGCCCCAGTTTTCAACAGCCCTGCCCCAAGGCACTAGGTTACTATTTTCTGAATGCTGAGATTTGAGGGTATGCTTCCATCAAATTATTGTAATGGCCTTTGTTGCTCTTAATGGCCAAAGGGCTACCCATGCACACATAGCTTGAAAAGAGAGTTACTGTGGTCTAGTACTTTGAGAGTCTGATTTACAGTTCTGGGAGACCAGGTTTAAATCCCCACTTGGCCATGAAAAATCACAGAGTGACCTTCGGCGAGTCATATTCTTTCAGCTTCAAAGGAAGGCAAAGGCAAACCCCTCTGAACAAATCTCATGATAGTTCCAAAGTAGTATTGCCATAAGTCAGAAATTACTTAAACTCACACAACAACATTTGAGATGCAGTGGAAGGCAAAAACAAATGAACATTTCAAGAATACAACACATTGCATAAGGATTCAAATCAGAAAGTTGAGGAGGAACATCATATATAGTTTGCAGGAGCATCAAAACAATTCCTGGAACACTTTATTATGGATTAAATTAAGTAACCCACAGGGAGATAATTTCTTCAAAATAAAATAAGATGTTCTTTGAGTTTCCTTAGCAAAGACAAAACAAATAATGGTTGAGTTGATGTTGGTCAATCCCATCTCTGTGGGGTGCAAGAAGATCAAAGAAGACAATACTCTGTGTGTGTGCATGCATTTGTTTTGGTTTTTTGTACTTTTATGTTTTGCAAGGAAAGATGTCTATAATAAGCCCCTGAAAACTTAATGTCTAGTGCTGCTGCCAGGGGCTAATAAGGGAAGAGAATGCACAGTGGCCAGGAGTAAACTGCCTACAGAGGCAGCCAGAACCAGTCCAAAGGTACTTGAGGGAGCTGTGTGTATGGCTGGTTGTGGACCTGAAATGTACAGGTCTGTCGGGAGAGGTGCCTCGCACTTTGAAAGCCTTGCTGTCACAGATCATCACAGATAAGTAGCATTTGTTACAAAGAAAGATCACCCAGCCTGGGTTGTACAGCAAGCTATGCATAGAACATAATGCAGGTTTCTTGTCTTCTGCTTTTATGGGGAAAAACACAATTGAAAGGCTGCTTTTTAAAAAGAGAGTTTATTCTGCCAGGTCTTATTATGGGGCATAAATAAAAACTGAGTTGTTCTAAAACTTAGTGAGGAGGTACATCACTCAGATCGCAAAACGTCAGTGCTACAAAGCACAGTTGCTGTCTTTCTTACCGTCCTTGTTCATACAAAAGTTGAGTATGTTAAACATGCAACTTGTATGCTGATGTATCTGAAAATTTCTAACTGTGCTGCAAGCTTTAATCTTCTGAGGCAGGGATGTTATTGTGTACCAAGTGAAAAGAAGACAATTTCTCTTGGCTTTTGTTGGAGCTGCTACCTAAAGATGTTTGCTGAATGGTGACTAGTGGTGGAGTTGATGTGCTTATAGCTAGGAATGACAGGTCACACACCCATCTGCCAAAGTGGAGGCTTAATCAAGGTGGATGGAAATTAGTTAGCAAAAGAGACAAGATTTGTTTATGCAGCTATTGGCAAGTAGCCTTACCCAGCTGTAAGGTCATAATTTGCTTTTGCAGACCTGGTGCTGCTTTAAAGATCACTGGTATCTTAAGCCTCTCTTTGCAAATCCTTCCCCTTCTTGGATTAGCCAGTATCCTGATAAACAAACAAACAAACAACACAAGGCTCCTCATTCTTCCAAAGGAACAGTCATGTTGAAGGTTGCTACTAAATGTTCACTCAGGTATTTCAGAGAGCAAAAATAAACAGTACAATTCATCAAGAAGAGTTTTAATTTCAGATTAAAATCCACAAAAAATGGTTCATCAGGGGAGTAAACAAGTAAAAACTGTCTCTTTTCACTCCACACGGCTCCATTACACAATATATGCCAAAACTGATGAGGTGATCAATCCCTTTTCATTTCTGTTTTGTATCTATGTCTGCTGTAAAGTAGTAGAACATTCAAAAATTGAAGCTATTTTATACTTCAGAAGAACTCACTTCTTTCCCTCAGGAGCTCCCAAAACACACCCACCCTGAGAAATTTCAACATGGAAATTTATTTCAGTGGACCAATGTAAATTCAGTGAAAAGGGTTCTGGAAAGGTGTACACGTACACACAGATTAATGTACCATAGTGGACAACCCCTGATAACAAGCAAAACTGGAAGATTTCAGAACTGAAAATGAAACACCCCAGGAATTTATAATGGGGGGACGGGGGTGTGATAAAAGGTATATTGGAACATCAAAACATGAATACTAAATAAAAGCTGCATCACCAGGTAGAGGGCATTTTTAGTGAATATGTAAAAAGTACTTAGAGAAACTTAAAAATGCCACCTTTATGAATTCTAATTCTTTATTAGTTTTTCATTCTAATTGTCTCCTAATATTTATTTAATTAATTCTGGACGGTGGTAGGGAAAAAAAGTTCACAATCTGCAGAAGTTTTGAAGTATTCAAATCTGATTTCTACCCAGCCTCTGCTAACACAGAGTTTATTATGGGACATCTGGATGGAGACTGGAATAGTAATAGCCAACATAAGGGGAGATTGTTAAAGTACAGTACCATAAATCCAAAAGATCAGAACTTTGGGTCAACAATACCAATAAGAGAGAGATTATATGTGATTAATGGGTCCTTGAACTTTGCAGTCTCTAGTGACAAGCAATTTCTCGAGGAATGTTGTCACAAATACTATATTCAGGTGCAAAATTGGATCCACCTGCAGGGTTCAGCACTTTTCTCTCAGTAAAGGTAAATAGATCCTTCAGATCTAAACAACACAATTATTTTCAACATTTCAGCCCGAGTCCCAAAAAATTCTAGATTCATTCCAGTCTCATTGCTGCTTCCTGATGGGAAATGCAGGCAGCTTTAACAGGAGTCTGTTAAAAACAACAACCAGGGTTCCACTAACTTGTTAAACAGAAAGTCTTAAAAAAACTGCCAAGCCCTCTGCAAGGAGAGAGAGGGAGAGAGAGAGAAATCTCTAGTTATTTATAACGCCAAGCAGCTTTAAGATCTCTTCACTCTAGTTTGCAAACTGCCTGCTGCTTGCAGGTCATTCCAAAAAAAATCCCAGCAAACCCCATGGCCTTCCAGCACAATATTTGATCAGAAGTCTGGGCGGGCACCAATTTTGGCAAATTGAAACTTCCACACACATGCTCTTTAGTACCTAGGAAGATCACACAGGCAAATCCTGAAGCTCTGGAAAAAGGTGTCTCTTCTCAGTCTAGGTGAGTTGATTTCTGAATTGCCTATTTTGTAAATGGATGTTTCAGCAGCCCTTGGCATACACATGACAAAAGTTTGTTGCCTCCTAGACTTGCACTTGCCAAAGAGCACATGGACTACCGTAGGGTCTTGATACGTGAATAACATGGCATGGGTTGCAAAAAGGTAGACCTGTTTTGGTTACTGGGGGAGGAAAACATTTTGACCTCATTAATAATGGCTTCTCCACTACCATAATTTGTGAAATTCTTGGCAAGAATGGGTGAGCTGAGACACACACCAACCTTGCCAGACCTCTTTGCTCAGCCTTTTTCCTCTCCATGCCCAGGACATTGTGTACCTAGCTACTTTGTTATTGTGTACTGATATGCATCAGGTTATCAACAACAAATAGTGCCTAAAGCATAAGGAGGAATTAAGAGTTGAAAACTGGTGGAATATGAGAAGCATGTAAAGGCACTATGGAAACACTAAAACTGCAGAGACCTAGATGAGGGATCAAGGATAATCTGAAGAAATCAAATAGATGACTTTAAGGAGTCTGATAAGATCCATATTCAGAATGTTTAAGACTGCAGAAGGACATGTAGCAAGTGCATAACAGATGCTAAAGAATCTTCTATAAATGTGGCTAAAGAGATCTCACCAGGCAATGAAACCATTCAAGAACAGTGGTGGAAAAAAGCTATTATAAACAGGATAGATGTCCAGAAGTAGAATTGTAGAGATATATGGTTTAAGTTCATCAGATAATTTGTAAATAAAGTGTGTGGGGTGTTTGTGTAAAAATCTGTCTGATGCGAAAGCCATAGAGTCTGTCCTTAGTCTTTCTATAGAATATGGGAGAAGCCTGTGGAGCTGACTATCAAACAATACTCTACCAACCAAGTGCTGTGATCTTTTCATGTTTCAACCGAGGACTGTCTCGGTGGTGAAGAAGACACAATCGTTAGTCCTCCATTTTTTAAACTGTCAAATCCATCTGTTACCTAGATCTGTCTCCATCCACAGTAGAAACACAGATGCTCATTACAACAGATGTAAAGGAAAACTAGGAAATTTAAATTTTAACAGGACTAGAAATAAATTTGAGTGATGTATTGGGTTGTTTTTAAGCAATAGGAGCCTAACTGGGCAGCTTAACTTAGAAGCTTGAAATGATGTGATAGAGAAATGACTCTCATCTTCAGATAATTGTACTCTTGATCTCCAGTCAAGGGTACAATTGCTTTTGTATTGACCATTGATTAATGAATTGTTAACACTAACAAACTAAATAACGAAGTAATATATATTCAGAAAAAGAAAAAGCAGAAGTAAGAGAAAAGAAGAGAAAAAGGAGGAAGAAACATGTAACTAAAAGATGGTAATCCCTCTGCAGTGAAAAGAAAAAAGAAAAAGAAACATATATTATTCATTTCAGATCTAACTAAATAATTCTATAATTACTAATAACCATAAACACATATTATTATATTGTAAAATTTCATATTGCCCCAAAAGTCCATAAACAGTTTCAAACATTCCAAGCCTTTCCATACAGCTGAACAAAATTGGTTTTAATTGTCATGTTTAATTTATTGTTTAATGAATTGTATAATGTGTTTTAATTATTTTTAATGTTTTAAATGTAATGTTTGATTGTTTATATGCTAATAGCATCATATGATGCTTGTGTGAGGCCACCCTGAGTCCCCCTTAGCGGGGAGAAGGGTGGGGTAGAAATGCATGAAATAAATAAATAAATAATTTTCAGCTTTGAACTGGAATATGTGACAGTGTGGACTGAGATAACCCAGTTCAAAGCAGATATTGTGGGATTTTCTGTCTTGATATTCTGAGTTATATGGCTGTGTGGAAGGGCTCCCAGTCTTCAATTGGCTTATCCTTTCGTACCCACATTAATTGACATGAGCTAACTTAGCAATTTCAGCAATCCACTCTTCAATTGTTGGTGCTTCTGTCTGTTTCCAAGTTTGATCAAACAATATTCTTGCTGCTGTTGTCATATATTGAAAAAGTTATTCATATTTATTGTCTTATTCATTATCCATAATGTTTAACAGAAACATTTATTGTAACATTATAAAATATACATTTAACCTGTTTTGGGTTAACATAAAAATCTTAGACAGCAAATTCTCACCCACTTGCAAAAGAACCACATATTGAAAAAGAAACCCTTGACATTCCCATAGTCTGAGATACTGTTGCTGAATGGTTAAACATGGCATTCTCAAAGTTAAAAACCAAAGTTTTCCCTCACCCCCCAAAAAAATCCTGTTGTGTTTTTCTGCTTTAAATCGCCTGTCAAGTTATGGGAAAAATACTCATAGGTAGTTTTGCCTCTAAAATATAGCCTGTAGCACCTGGTATTCATTGACAGTTTGACATCCAGATACTAAGCCGGGTTTTATGAGAGTGGAGGCCAGGGTGTGGGTGGCCATACTTAACCTCTGGCTCAGACTGTCCCGTGCACCCCTTGGCCTTGCCCCACTAACCATGGAGGATGACTTCCAATCCACATGGAAGCAGGCGGTAGCATCCAAAATCTCCTCGTTGGGATTTTCTCCAGGTCTACTATTAGCTATGGATTACAATCAAGCCAAAGCACTTATTAAACAACGTATCACAGACACAGAGCGCCAACTAGATCTGGCCTCGGCTCCAACCTTCCTTATCAGTGAAGACAGCAGATACCTTGCCTCCCCTATGGCATATTTAACATACTTAGAGGTTCCTATTCATCGGAGGGCTTTCACCCTGGCCCGATGCCACGCTCTCCCATCAGCTGTACTCGAAGGCCGCTACCGGAAGATCCCTTTCCCAGAGAGACTCTGCCCCTGTGACTCGGGTCATGTGGAAACAATAGAACATGTGCTCCTTCAGTGTCCGTTCTACAGGGATACCCGTGCCAGGCTTATCTTACCCTTGATAGACAAGCACCCAGGCCATTCAGGACAATTTTATACCTCCCTGCTACTTGCGGATACTAATTCAGCTACAACCTACAATGTCGCAAAGTTTTGTGCAGCAGCATACAAAATCCGCCAGGGAATGACTAGTTCCAAAAGTCAACTGTGTGTCCAGTAATCTTCTTCCCTGAATCTACAATTTGGTGATGGATCTGGGCATTGTATGTTTTTACCCTGTTTCCCCTTCTGCTCCCTCACCCATATTGTGTTTTTAGTAGTTATATTTATATTTTTAATGTACCAAACATGCCAGGTTTGTATGGAAATGTGACACTATTTCCTGTGCTGGTCAATGACCGAAATAAATGTTTTGATTTGATTGATAAGCCAGACTGAACATGCTTAGCTTCTAAGATCAGACAGATCTGGTGCCTGCTAGGTTAACCATAATGTCTCAAGATCATGTGCAAGTTTTCAGATTGCCCAGAATGCTTCAGGCTAAATCAATGGTTCTCAACCTTTGGCCCCCCAAATATTTTGCATATTTTTATTTCAACTCCCCTTACTTACTTAGGCGATCCCTCGTTGGCCGAGTAGGATAGTCTTCCAGGATCAGTATTCTTGTGGATCCGTAAGTGACTGTGGAGCCCTATTCTTGATCTGCATCTTCTCCTGCAGTGAGGGCATTGGTTTCCAGGTGGAAGGCGGTCTTGGTCGGGGTTGGCTTGACGCGCCTTCCTCTTGGCACATTTCTCTCTTTCACCCTCCATTTGTGCCTCTTCAAATTCTGCAGCACTGCTGGTCACAGCTGACCTCCAACTCCCCAAAGACCTGCCAACATGAGCAATGCACAATGATTCTGGGATTTCCCCTGCTGTCCCCTCTTTACAGTCTTAGGATGGCATGTGGGAGGATATGTCACCAAAAACACCATGTAGCTTTAGTAACAGGGTCCTACAGTCAAACAAAGTGATTTCATAGTACTTAAAGATGAGATTTCTTTCTTTAAACACAACCCAGTTACTAGATGATGGTTTATTTAAATTATTAATAGCACTCTTTCTGCTGCTTTTAAAATGCCAAAGTTGTCCTCCTCTTCCTACTTTCCCTCTTTGTCCTCAACTTCCTTCAATTGTTTCAAATTGAGTTGAAGGGCCAAAAACAGTTTGCCCTTAACTCAACAGTTGGAGGAGAAGAAAACAGAAACTGGTCCTTTCCAGTAGGCTCAAAAAAAGGAAACTATTGCAGCCTCTTGTGATCGTGTTTGTTCCTTGCTAATATTTTTTCCTTCTTATTGGTTTGCCATGTGTGTTCCAGTTTTCATCTGTAAAATGTTGGAGGGCATTTGGTATTCCTTGTAACTCTGAAAATGTGTGCAACCTTGAGGAAAGAGAAGTTTGTTGACTGAATTAGTCAACAATAGACCCAGGGGGCAGTCATGTAGCTTTTCTCACCTAACCTAATGAAGAGGTTCTGCAGACATGAAAATGTGGGCATGGATTTCAGATTTTTTGTATGGCCAACAAGGTTACCTTTGTGTGTTTTTTTAAATGTGGGCAGAAGTGGCATAAACCCATTTTCCATGCAACAGAGGGAATGTTTTATTTTTTTAGGCACAGAGACACTAGAAGTGTGTGAAGAATTGCATTTTATCCATGCCAAACCTCAGCGCATCATGTCTAAACACACAGTGTAATATTTCAAATATAATTGCTGGATCCTCTTGGACTACTGTTAACAAAATCTTCCCAGGAATTTCTGTGACATGTAGTTTTTTAAGCTCAAGCTATGCATGTGTGTGCATAGAATAGCTATATGGCTTTCATTGAAAAATGTCGTAAGAGTCATAGAATCATAGAATCAAAGAGTTGGAAGAGACCTCATGGGCCATCCAGTCCAACCCCCTGCCAAGAAGCAGGAATATTGCATTCAAATCACCCATGACAAATGGCCATCCAGCCTCTGCTTAAAAGCTTCCAAAGAAGGAGCCTCCACCACACTCCGGGGCAGAGAGTTCCACTGCTGAACGGCTCTCACAGTCAGGAAGTTCTTCCTAATGTTCAGATGGAATCTCCTCTCTTGTAGTT